ACACACACACACACACACACACACACACACACACACACAGTACCTCTCACCATAGAACATAAAAGCAAATGCATCAAAGAAAAAAAGTTTAGGCGGGTTTCAGAATGAAGAGAGGTTAATACAGATGAGACAAAAAGTCAGCATAAAGATCACTGAGATATAAACTGTTGGGCTGAAAGGAGACTTAAAGAACACCTGGCTCATTCATGTTGCAGATCAACAAACCGATAGCCTGAAAGGGAAAGGTAATTCATTAAGATCACCTGCAAGTCATGTGTCTGAATCACACCCAGAGCCCAGTCTTTAGTGCCCCACCCTCTGACTCTGTCCCATGAAGCCCTGTCTTCTTGAGTTTCAAACCAGTGGGTTTGAAAGGCTCTGTTGAGTGGGTCTGGGGTACCAGAGAGCTATCTCTAGAGGTTGAACAACCAACGGAGTTTTCAGAAGGGCTGCAGTGGTCTTTGGGGAATGAACCCCATTTGTTGACAACTTGGATGGCCCGTAACATCAAGCAGGTGTGAGGCAGGCAACCCTGCATGATGTTCAAGCACTCAGGCAAGTTTGGGAAGAACTCCAGAGCAATCTGAAGGCTGGAAGACAAAAAACGCCCAGCAAAGCTTTTCAGGTTGATGAATAACTATCAGAATGGCAGGAGAGAATGATTGTCACTTGGGTCTGCACAAGTTCAATTGATTTCCAATTGCTGCTCATTGGCATGATGGGAAATGTCAGTCACCTTTAAAGGGGTTGGCCACAGCTGGGGACACTGATTGGTGATATATGGCTGCAAGGAACCATCTTAGAGGGGAGCTGAGCAAAATGAGTCAAAATCCTTAGACATCCACATGCCCTCTGCATTCCACTGGGAAATATACATTCATGTGTGCACAAAGATTTATTTATAAGGATGGTCACTTCAACATTATATATTATGGGCCGGCCGAGTGGCACATTGGTTAAGAGCTGGCTTGGGACGCCAGAGGGCCCCAGTTCAGATTCCACATATGAGGGCCAGTGACACTGCCCTCTACAGCTAAGATGCTGAACAACAGCTCGACTGGAGCTGGGCTGCCATCAGTCGCTGGCGACGGTGTAGGCTGCAGCCCCTGTGGCAGTGGGTTGCCATGGGCTACCATGTGTAGCCAGCAGCCAGCGTGAGCAGCCAGCAGCCGCTGTGAGGAGCAGTCCAGAAGCCGGCGACTGATCTGCCTCGCCCGGGAAGAGCGCAATGATGGTGCCAACTTGGGCCAGTGAAGCAACATCCTCCACAACTAGACTGAAGAACAAAAAAATGACAGCAACTTGTCTGTTCCCCTCCCCCAATTCCCCAGTGCTGTTCCCATCCCCCTATTCCCCAGTTAAAAAAAATATATATATATATATATAATATATATACTATATATAGTATATATAATTATATTATATTATAAGAGATTTAAGATGGTGGAGTAAATAAACGCTGTGCCTGCATCCTTCCATGAACACATTAAAATTACAACTAAATTATAGAACAATCAACCTGGAGAACCATCTGAAGTCTAGCCAAACGTAAGTTTTATAACTAAGGTTATAAAGAAGAAGCCACGCTGAGACTGGTAGGAGGGGCGGAGACACGGAACGGGTCCCAAACCTCCCTGTGGCGGCTGAGAACCAGGAGGGATATCTCAGCCGTGGAGGTTCCCCCTGGAAGAGCCAGGGGACGCAGCCCCACACGGGCTTCCCCAGCCCAGAGTGCTGGTGCCGGGAAGAGGAACCCCCACAACATCTGGCTGTGAAAAACAGTGGGGATTCTGACCATCCAGGTGGGACGGAAGGCAGCAGGAAACCCAGACATCCTCTCAAACGTCCCGCACACACAGATTTACTCGCTCGCAGGCACTCATCTTAGGCTCCTCAGGAGGGAAGGTAACTCAAGGAGCATCAGAGACATGGGGAGCAGACTGAGGTGTGTGGCTTTGAGGCAAGGGCTGGAGGACAGTAGCCATTTATCCCTTGTATGGTCCTCCTCCCATGCAGCCGGCAGGTGAGCACCATCTTTCCTGTGTTGAGCCCGCCCCCCCACTACGGCCAAATCTGAATCTGGCCAGGAGCCCCACCCAATTCCCCCAACACCAGAAGCACTTTCTCTGTTAGCAGCCAGCCCCGCCCACATTGCACTTTTTCTTGGAAAACAATGGGAGTCCGGCAGGCCCCAGGTGGGCAGCAGCTGGCCTTGGTGTGCTCTGAGACTTCCGATGAGTCACTCCAGGCTCAGCACTAACACCAAGCCAGAATTTACATTAACCTGGTGGCCACAGCTCCCTGTCTGAGCCCTTGCCCTCCCCTCAGCTCCTTTCCTTTCCAGGAAGTGGAAGGCCTTCCACCCAGGCAACAGTAGCGGGTAGGATACTGCTTCTGTGTTAGGAATTCAGGGGCAAACTACACACAGGCTGGTAAACTGCAGGTCTGCAGCTTGGATGCAGCCCCCACCTGTGCAGATAAAGAAATGCACGTTTGGTTCTCTTCACATCTCGGTTCCCTGACTCTCACATTCCTCTGTCCTTGCAGGGCCCTGAGTCTCCATGTGCGCTGGAGAAAAAAAAGAAGATAGTATCTGGTTTAGGTGAGAACTGCTCAATTAGGGAGTTCCCACTGGGCTGTGAGCTGTTTCCTCCCATTTCTGACTCAGAAGAGTCTCTTTCCTGGGGCTCTCTGCCAACCACTTTCCCAGTCGGCTTCCTGCGTCTCCCCACGTAGTGTGCTTGCTTCTCCGCCATGTTGCTTTCCCGCTCCCCCTCTGCCACCTGTCTCTTTTCTGCTGTATGTTCAGTGCCTTCCATACACACCCCTGCCACCTCCATACCCCTGCAGAACCAGTGCCTGCCCATTGGGAGGAGCCTATTTGATGTCTGCTGAGATGCTGAGTGGTCTATATCTTCACCATAGGTCTATAGGTATATACATATACCTGCTGTGGATTGGAGGGGGATGTTTTAAACCTCACTCTTCAAACACAAATTTATAATTTTTGTTTAAAAGTTTACATTTTACCACTAGCAATAAATACTGTTTCGTTTTCCATAAATCACCACACAAATCTAGGATCTTAAAACAACATCCTTATTATCTCATAGTTTCCATGGGTTTAGGAGTCTGAGGCACCTACATTTAAATTTAAACAGCCACATATGGCTAGTGGCCACTCTATTGAACAGCCTCGTTCCAGAACCCCCCAAAAGCAGCGTTAGGTCAATTCCAAGCTTCTTGCACTTTTTCACCACATGGATTCTCTGACCTTGGCCTAAGGCACTGATTTTCATCATTGGGCAACTGTGTTTCTCTTTCTGCAACTCAAATAAAGCATATGTTTCATGACGGGTCCTAGCCTGGGTTCCCCCAAAACAGAGCCTTAGGTGCAACTAATTTCTTCGGGAATATAACCCCAGGGAAGAGGAACATGAGCTAGAAGAGGAGTGGATAGAAGCAAAAGGAAACACCAATATGTTACAAAGACTGTGTTACAAAGTAGGCGACTACCAAGGGCATTTCCCTGATAATTTTTTGATTTGCATTTTCCTGATAATTAATGATGCTGAGCATCTTTTCATACACCCACTGGCCATTTGTATGTCTTCCTGGGAGAAATGTCTTTTGAAGCCTTTGGCTCATTTTTTAATCAAGGTATTTGCTTTTCTGCTATTGAATTGTAGGAGTTTCTTCCATATTTTGGAAATTAACCCCTTATAAGAAAAATGGCTTGCAAATATTTTCTCCCATTCTGTGGGTTGCCTGTCACTCTACTGATAATTCCCTCTGCTGTGCAGAAGTTTTTAGTTTGGTGTAATCTCCCTTGACTACTCTTAACTTTTGTTGACTGTGCTTTTGGTTTCATATCCATGAAATCCTTGTCAAGGCCAATGCTACAGAGATTTTTCCCCTATGTTTTCTTCTAGGAATTTTACAGTTGTCAGGTCTTACGTTTGTTTAAGTCTTTAACCCATTTTGAGTTGGGTTTTGTAGATGGTGGATGGTAGGGGTCCAATTTCTTTTTTCTTTCTTTTTTTTTTTTCACATGGCTATCCAATTTTCCCAACATTTGTTGAAGAGGCTCTTTTCCCATTGTGTTTTTAGCACCCTTGTCAAACATTGGTTGACCATATATGTATGTATTTATTTATAGGCTTTCTATTCAGTTCCACTGGTCTATATGTCTGTCTTCATGCCAGTACCATACTGTTTTAATTATTATAGCTTTGTAATATAATTTGAAATCAAGATGTGATGCCTCCAGATTTGTTCTTCTTTCTCAAGATTGTTTGGGCTAATCTGGGTCTTTTATGGTTCTATGTGGCAATTATTTTAAAAGCAAAAGGTAGGTGTTGATAAGATTATGGAAAAATCGAAACCTTTGTACACTGTTGGTGAGAGTGTAAAATGGTGCAGCAGCTACGGAAAAGGTGTGGAGATTCCTCAAAACATTGAAAATAGAATTACCATATAATCCAGCATTCCCACTTCTGGGTGTATATCCAGAAGAATTTAGATCAGCATCTCTGAGAGACGCCTGCACTCCCATGTTCACTGCAGCATTATTCACAATAGCCAAGACATGGAAACAACACAAGTGTCCATCAACAGGTGAATGGATACAGAAAATATGATTTATACACACAACAGCATTCTACCTGATCTTAAAAGAAGCAGCAGAAGAAGAAGGAGAAGGCGGGGAGGAGGAGGAGGAAACCCTGCTATGTGTGACAATGTGAATGAACCTGGAGAACATTATGCTAAGTTAAATAAGCCAGACACAGAAGGACAAATATTATGATTCCATTTATATAAGGTATCTAAAATAGTCAACTCACAGAAGCAGAGAATACAGTAGTGGTTTTCATGAGTAAGGGGATGGGAAAATAGGAAGTTGTTATTCAATGGGCATAAAGTTTCAGTTCTATTAGATAAATAAATGCCAGAGATCTGCTCTATAACGTAATCCCTGTAGTTACAAATATGGCGTAGTGTACTTAAATTTTAAAAGGGTGGCTCTCATGATAAGTTCACATACACACACACCCCCCCAAGAAAAAGACACAAGGGAACACTGGGAGGTGCTGGATTTCTTTGATTGTGGTGATGGTATCATGTGTGTTTGCATATGTCCAAACTCATCTAATCGTACTTATTAATCATGAAAAAAAAAATGTTTCTCGTAGGGTTTTCCCTAGGGAAGCATTCTCTCTCAGTTCATGTGCTCCGTTGAAGCGTGGCTGCCAAGCGTTAACAATTTAAGACTGCACTTCCACAAATGCCTTAAAAATTCACACAGACATGTCACACTGTGGCATCCTGGAACCTTAGGGTCAAGAAAATAGAGCACAAGGAACTATGTGGGAATAGTCATGACTGACACAGGAGCAACACCCAGAAAATCTGGACAGTGTTTCAGGGTACCCAATACCAATCACATTCAGGTCCCAAGCAAGGCCCAGGCCATTGAGATGGGGAAAGTAGTGGCCTCCGAACACCAGGAAAGGGGCCAGTGGGAAAGACTGAGGCACCTCTGGACGTGGAACTCACCATCAGAAGCGATGGCATGCACGCTCTGTGTTAGGAATCAGCCTCCTTAGTTGCATGTACACCGGTGGGAAAAAACAATTTTCCCTGAAGGGCAGAAAGGGTCTCAACACCCAGCCACTGAGTATGTCTGTCCAAACAAAAAGGGAACAGGGTTGAGTAAAGTGATAAGTTGTAGAGATTGATGCCAGAGAGGCTTTCATAAGAGGGAACAGTCTGTCAGCCTGTCAGGACAGGGCAGGAGAGAGCCCATCCTGGAAAGAAAGACAGGAAATGAGAAAGGAATTTCTTCTAGAACCAAAGTCCAGAATCTAATAGGACACGAGAAAGACCCAGCTTTGTACAGAGGAGCTGGAAGCAGGCTCCTCTGGAGATGAGAATCCCAGGTGGAAAAAGCAGGGTCTGCTTAAAGCTTCCTGTGTCAGGGGCTCCTGAGAGACGGTTTTGAGGAGGAGAGCTAATGTGATACCAGGAACTAGAGCGGAGGCGTGAGGGTGGCACTGGCACCACTCCAGAGGGAGGTGGCTCGTCAAACACTAGCAGGGAAGGAAGAAGATGGATGGGGAAGGAAACAGAGGGAGAGCATGGCGAACCCTCACTCTCTTCTCAGCTCCTATCATGAGGCCATCCTAAGACAGTGAATCATTTTCAAGCAGTCGCTTTATTATTGTCAGAGCAATTTACAGACATGTCTCTAACAGCTTTTTTCTATCTCTCTCCCCAACCCCCTTCATCCCTCCCTTCCTCCCTTCTTTCCTCCCTCCCTTTCTTCCTCCCTCCCTCCCTTCCATGAACCTACACACCTACAGGGAAAAACAATTGCCCACTAACTGAGCATCTCCCAGACAGATGCGAGGATGAATTACAAACAGGGCTTCGGGAAACTGATGGAAGGGGCCCACGGCAGTGCCTGTGCCTAAGTGTTCAGGTTCATGGGAGGCAATACAGGGGTGAAGCCGTGGGAAGGGAGGAGCCATCCACATACCTGAGATTTAAGGATGTTTGGATTTCCTTTGGGCCGCGCCTCGTAAGGGATTGTGTGTTGAGGTCAACTCTGAGTGAGAAACCTCTGTTTCATCTTATCGGGATTAGAGGATACGGCTGGCATATGAATTCAGGGAATCAAAGCTCTCTTGTTCTTGTGTCGCCCCCAGAAAAAGAGACCCATGAGAGGCTAGATCTTCAGGGCTGTGCCATCATGTCCAACAGACACCGTCAATCCTTACTGTCCATCCTCAATCCAGCTACTATCCCTGGTCTACATGGCGTCCTAAGGTTCTCATCAGAGTGTGAACAGTTCATTTCCAAAGCAGGCATCTGGGCCCTTTTTTTTCCCCCTCCCAGACCTGGAACCACTGAAAAATGGGACATCAGACGGTTCACTTATTGTCACTTACTGAATAGTCACTTAAGTGAGGATCAGGTGATTCACTTGCTATTCTCAGGGCTGCCCAGAAGAACCAGCAGTGCCTATTGTTCCTCTCCACGTCCTCTTAGAAAACTGAAATGCTCAACAGAATTAAAAAGAGCTAAGGATTTGAGTCCTGTCCAGGAAACATAGTTTTTCCTGGTCCCACATGCCCAGAAACTCCCCCTGATTTAATTCATCACCACCCAAGAATTCTGTTGCCCATAACAGTGGGTGGACAGTGGGGACCAGCCCAGGTGACTTCTTGGTCAAAGAGTAAGTACCAAAAAGTGTTAAGCCAGAGATTTTCATGACAAAAGCCTGAACAAAGGTAGAGCAGCCTGCCTCAAAAACCCACTTCCTTAAGGCAAGGCTCCCGGTCTGTATAAAATGCCAGCCGGTCAGAGACACCCCACTAGACCCAAGAGGCTGACAACTTGAACTCTTCTCTGTGCCAGGTGAGTCTCACTGCTTGGAATGTCTTAATATTTGCCTAATTGGATGTTATTTGATTGGGATCTTTGTCAGGCTCAGGATCTATTTATTTTATTTTATCTTATTTTTTATTGTTAGTTTCAGGTGTACAGAACAATGCAATAGTTATCCTTTTTACCCTTCACACAGAAACAACCCCCCTCCCCCAGGATCTATTTATTTTAAACGCAATGGTGGTTTGTGTTTAGATGACATTACAGATCTTTTCGATTTCCCACTCAGGTGACAGCTGTGGAACTCGGGGTCTGTAATGATTGTTTGGTCAGCTACAGGATTGGGACTACGGCCCATGTCCAGGATACTTTTTGTGACTTTTAATACTCCCTCTAATCATTACTGAGAATTTGCAATATTGAAGGCACTGCAGTTGGCAATTTGGGTGTTCAAAAGATATGTTTTCCTTTACTCCACGGGCCTACGATCCATCAGAGAGCACAAAACATGGGTGTGATTTGCAAACATATTGCATAGAAAGTGATTAAGAAAGAGGGCAAGACAGGTATTGCACTATGGCAAAGCGAGGAAGGAGATTTGGGTTTGGCAGTGTCCGGGAGGTGAGCCATGGTGGGTAGACATGTGTAGACAAGCAGCCGTGGAACGAAAAGTCTTCCAGAAAGCATGCACAGAAAGGACAACGCGAACCGAGGGCTCATAGGTGGGATCACGTGAGCTCAGGGCAGGGTGGCATGGAGTTTTCCTAGGAGAGCGATGTGGGGGCCATGAGAGGGTAGATTCCGGAATTTTTGTTCTATCTTTTTTCTAAATTATTGAAAACCTGGGGCCTCGATCGGTCCTGGGAGCCAGCTGTTGTGTGGTGTTGCCGACACAGGTTTTTAGAATCACCAGGGAGAAAGGAAGCACAGGTCAGGGCTCCACCCGTGTAGAGCAGAATAAAGCACCTTTAAGCGTCTCTTCTTGACAGAGCACAGGAATCGCCAAAGTTCCCACTGATCTCAAATTCAAGGAAACAGAAAGGGAAGAGAGGCCATCACATCTGAAGGGGCATGAAATATATTTATCATGTGTCTTCTTCCTTGTTTCACCAAACCACTGAGCCAGTTTTTCTGTCTCTAGGTCCAGTCTCCTCTGAAGCATGAGTTCCTACCAGCAGAAGCAGACCGTCATCCCACCCCCCCAGCTTCAGCAGCACCAGGTGAAACAGCCCTCCCAGCCTCCTCCCCAGGAACCATGTGTCCCCAATACCAAGGAGCCAGGCCACACCAAGGTGCCACAACCTGGCAACACCAAGAATCCGGAGCCATGCCACCCCAAGCATCCTGAACCAAGCAAGCCTACGTTTCCTGAGCAGGGTCACACCAAGGTCCCTGAGCCAGTCCACCCTAAAGTCCCTCAGCTTAACCAGTCGAAGACTCCTGAACCATATCCCTCCGTGGTCATCCCAGGTCCAGCCCAGCAGAAGACCAAGCAGAAGTAAAGTGGTCCACAGCTACACCCCTGAGGAGCTGACCCCCGGGTGCCGAACGCCACCCCATCTGCTTCTGTGTCTTCATTGCCTGTAGGCTTTGTAATCTGTATGTTCTCACCCTGTCGTATTTGCATCTAAAAATATATGCTATGAAGCTTTTGCTTGCACAAACTCTGGAGGTCCCCTGAGCCTCTAAATTAAGGAGGGGTCTTAATGGTTATGTTGGTCTTCAGCTGATCAGGGTTCATCCGAAGAGGGAATCTGGATGGGAAGAAAAGCATGTTTCCTGCTCTGCCTTCATTAAATCACTTTTAAGTCCACTCCTGGCTGTGTGTGTCATTGGGTGACTCAGCCCCATTCGCTGCTCTCCCATCATGACTGGGACCTGTAATCAGAGAGGACTTGGCGTGACATCACCTGTCCACCCTGGTCCTGCATGCTTCCATGCCTATGTGTGTGTGATTACACTGAGGGGGTATCCCTATTGTGGAATGGAACTTGGGTCAGAGCCTGTCACTTTGACAGCCACATCTGGAACGGGGCTGCCCTCTGGCCCTGGACTGAGTCATGCCTCAGTTCCACGGTGCCTGCCCCATGTCACCTCTGATCATGAGGACACTGTCCCCAAAACTGCTGCTTAGTCCCCAAAACACCCCTTCTACATGCTTGAACCTAACTGTTCCGGTGTTCGTCACTCAACTCACACCCACAGATTTATCCAGTGACTTGCAGCTGGAGGTGAGTTTTAGGCAGGGATTAGGACTACGTGATCCTAGGCGAGGTGGTAACCAGCCATAGCGTTGGGACAATGCTGGCCATTAAGCTGTAGCATGTCAGTTTTGAAAGGTGGGCATCTAGTACAGCCATTCCATTCTTCAAGTAAAGAAACCGATACCCCAAAAGTCAGTTATGGTAACCCAGAAATTATGTTTTTGCATCACACCCATAGCCCAGTTCGCCTAACCCCACCCCTCACTCCCTTCTGCAGCGCGGTCTTGTTGATTTCAGAGATGACCAGCAGGGTTGCAGGTCTGGGTTGAGTGGGTTGGGATGTTAGAGAGCTGTCTCCAGCAGCACGGAAGATGCCATCCAATCTCAGAAATGCTACCGTAGTCACCAGAGAGCAAAGCCCATTTTTTGATAGGATGCATCCTTGTTGGGGTAGCCCATGTGCCTCTCCTCCCCACACAGCCCCATCCCGGGTCTTGATGCTGGATACCCCCACACTCCACTCACAGCAGGACTCAAATCCTGCCCACTGACGAACAGCTGATGTCACCTCAGGGCTCAGCTCCTTCTGTTCCCTCAGCAAACTAGAAAACCCAAAGATGGGTCCTTTCCACCCTTTCCATAACCCAGTTTGCAATCGTGGAGCAGGAACTGGATACTGTCAGTAAACTTCCACTGGGGGACAGGAGATGAAAAGGAGCTAGCCAATGTCTGACCCCCCAGGAATTCCGAAATGCCTCTGAGCAGACATGAAGAAATCCTCTCATGTGACATGCCCTCCCCCGCCCCTGCTCTGGAAGGCACGCTTGGCCTCTGCGGGTCCTTCCTTTCTCATTAGCCTCTCCGAGATGGATTTATGTCGTCCTCTGGCACAGGGCTCTTTCTAGGCCGATATTGTTGTAAGGATCCGAAACACACACTTTTGTAGTCTGGGCCCATGGTTCTTAGGCAAAGCCACTCCATTAAACATTTTGCAGGCTTCTGGTTTTTTTCCATTCAGGCCCCTTGGCAGCAACTGTCAAAGCTCTTTTCCCGCCCTCATTCTCAAGCCATGTGTGTCTCTCTTCTTTTTATTTTTCCTTCAAGTACTGCAACTGCCCTGTTGCTCTCGGGGACAATGTGGGTAGGAAGACTCCACCTTTAATCTCATCTGTGCTGCAAAAATTTGTCTTGAGACCTTTGTTTCTTTGGTCTTATCTCTGTGCTGAGATTTAGAAAGAGTCGGCTCTTCCTGCCACGTTTTAATACTCTAAGAATTCCTGTTTCTTCTATCTGCAAATTGGTCCATTTCTCTCATGAACTCATTAATATTTTGCCGGCCGATTCAGTGGCTGCCAATATTCACCAAATCTCTATATCTGTTTAGTCACTTTTATATGACTATAAGCTTATTGGGCAGTCTGCTTTTCAAGTGACAGGTGACAATTTTACTGACTGAATATTTTAACACAGTGTGACATTTAGGGTAGGTGCTAGGGAAGGGCGGAGCAGAAGGCATCCTGGCGTCCAGTGATGCGGGGACTCCTCTACTCTGAACACATATAAAGCCAACATTACTGATACATAAACAAAGGAAAATTCACAGCATGGGGGTAGAGAGGGGCCAGGTGGGGGGACAGTTGTCCCATTGGCTGAGACTCCAAAGAAAGGGGCTGTAGTGGGTGGGCCAGTATTTAAGGCAGGAAATCACAGGGGACTTTCATTGGACCCCATGTAACCAGCAAAACAAGACAGGTGCCATTGAGCTAGTAGTAAAGGGCGTACTAGGGTGGTTTTCCCCAATATTCAGTTACTCGCACACCAGCACCCCTGTTTTACCACAACTTCATATGCTTGTACCGTAATATTTGCTTAATATATCTCTTGAACATTATTTTATAAAAAAGGATATTTTTTCCAAAAATCACAAGTATATATTTACCCAATCAGAGTCACTCCGTGGTATTCTTATGACCCGTGACAAAGCGAAGCAGACCGGGAGAGCGTTTCCTCTGTAAGTGCACTTCCTGCCCTCAAGGGGCTTCCCATGTGACCTTCCATCCATTCTGACATCCATTCTTACAGGTAACTCTTCCACAGTAGCGTGGAAATGTTCAGACACAAGAAAACCCAAGAATGTGAGAGACATTTGGGCTCCTGAGCAAAAACATTCCTTGGTGCATCGTACTCTGGGCAGATTCTTTCTGCAGACAGAGGGGGTGCCGTGGAAGAAGACAGGTGCATCCTTGTGCTAAGAGTGGCTGATGGCACAAAGTCAAAGCTGAGGGTGGCCTTACTCCCCTTCAGCCCTGGCCTCTCCTCCACTTCCTCTTTCCAGCCTCGGAGACCCTGGAGCACGCCGGGCAGGCTCTGGCGTTGGCGTATTTGCATCAGAGTCTTCTGACCTGGGACAGCCATCCTAACCTCTAACCTTTTACCCGCTTCACATTGAACAAAACATCACCTTCTCAGAGAGGACACACAACCCCACCTCCTTGGGGCTCCCAGTTGCATACACAGCTATTCCTTTTTCCACGGCATTAACATAATTTACAGTCATCGTGTTTCTTTATCGTTTATTTCCACCCGCCCCTACAGCAGGTGAACCCCCATGGTCAGAAATCTTTGTTATTGTTCACTGATGCACCCCCAAGGGTCTAGAGCCCCGCCTGACTTGTTGTAGACACTCAAGAGTCAGTTGAAAGCGTGAACTGGAGGTGTTCCTTCGATAAAAAGTTGGCGAATCCTCCAAACATTCCACTGTCACCTGCAATTTGTTGGAGCTGCAAGGTTAGACAAGGCCTGCAGCGCTGAGCACATATTCCAGGGAGGAGGTTGGGGGCTCGTCATCACCAGACATCCCCCGACTTGTCCTTCCAGGTGACTTGGATTTATTGAGAAGTAACTGAACGTGCTGTCTTGGGAAGCTCCACCCCCTTCCTGTGAAGCTGCAATCTCCCCTTGTGGCTCAGCCTGAGCTCTTGAGATTCATGTCTGTTTAGGAACAATCAGATGTTGGTTTTCACCTGAATGAAAAGAAGGTTTCATGCTTGTGTGCTTTTTCTCATGTGCTGAGAAGATGTAGAACTCTTTGTCTGGCGGTGAAGGCAGAAGTGTTTATCCGCAGCCTCCTGTCACTCCCTTCACCGCCACCCTTTGGCCAGTCCGGCTCCCTGCACGGTAACTCTCCCACACTTTTGGATTGCACACGTAAGAGTGCATTGTTCCATGGGTACCCCGCAGTATAGTGTCACAGGAGCCTGGGGTCAGGAAAGGAGAGGAGGCTCTTACACGGAGCCCACCCAAACCTCCATGGAAAGGAACACGTGACAGTGTGTGCATCAGAGGCAGAGCAGAGAGGGTGTGGAAGGATGCCCAAAAGCTACATAATGCAGTTAACCAACAAAGCCAAGAAAGGCCAGGCTTGGTAGAAGAAAATCAGCAGCATCCTATCGTCCTGACAAGGACCTCAGTGTGAAAGTCAGAGGCATGTGGGAAGATGCCAGTGGCAATCACAAGTCATATGGCTTCCAAAACATTCATTGGCGAATCCAGAAATTCCGCTTTCCTGTAGTGTAGAAAAAAGCTGAATACCCAACCACTTGCTGCACTTTAGACAAAAGAGCAGAAGGATAAAGGGAAATTGAGACACTCAAAAGGGAAAAGCATTGACTGGGGGAAAGGAGACACAAGTCAGGTAGGCACAGCAGGTCAAAGCCTAGACAATATTGAATGACAAGCCCCCCGCCTTGGTACCCAGGGCTGTGGATCCGGGAGGAACACGAGGGACAGAAGCCCAGCCGCAGAGCCGAGGGTCAGGTCAGCCAGGTCCATGGCGGTGCCATGGAGGACTCAGGAGCAGAAGACAGGCTGCCCTGGGTCCGAGAAGCCCACCAGACCCACAGCACGGCATGCCCGAATTCCCTCTGCAGGGTCCTTAGAGACGAGGTGTGGGTGGGAAGAGCTAACTTGATACAAGAGGCCTTGAAGTCAGGCATGGTGGTGGCAGGCACCAGCCCAAAGGGCAGCGGCTACGTAAACTCTAGGGAGGGCAACAGGTGGGTGGGGATGGTGGCAGAAACATCTGTCTCTTGGTGAGCCCTTAGCCCTCTTCTGAGCTCACGCCATTCTCCTTGGCACAGGGAGCGTTTCTCTTATCAGCAATGTCCTAGTTGTTCTCAAAGCAGCCCCTGGGTGTCTCACCCCAAATAATTCCACCCATCCCGTAATTGTCAACCCACTGTGCAGCGTCCACACACCAGGCAGTGTCGGGTGAAGCGTAGAATAATCATTAGGGGGCCAGTGGGAGGAGCACCTGGTGGCGGCACTGGGCTCCAATTCAGGGGCGGTGACACCACTGTGAAGCCCGCGGGTACTCCACAACATGTAGGTGAGTGAAGTGAAGGAGGGAGGGGCTATATTACACCTACGTTTGAAGAACGATTTGGCTTCCAAAGACCCTAGCTTGTGACAGGCTGTATATGAAAGGCAGGACTGGACTAGTGACCTCAATTTCATTCCATCTTGAGCAGAGTGAACTCTGGCATAAAGGGTCAAGGAATCCCAGA